CCAGGGGAATCGCAGCGACTTGGCACTCCGGTCCGCTGAGGGCCTGAGGGGCGGTACCGGGGGCAGGTCTACCTTAAGCAGCTGGTTCGCCCCCCCCCGCCACCAGCCAAGCTTCGCCTAGAACAACGGGCCCATACAATCTGGGCTGGCCGTATTGATTTTTCTTTATTGAAACCATCTATTTGTTTATTTATTAAAGTGCCCGTGAGTTTCCCCTGAGAGTATGTGAAAGCCCCTTACCCCATCCCCACCCGCGAAATGCTCGAAGTACGTTGATGCCGAAGTGGTTTCGGGAGCTTTTAATAAAATTACCCAAAACACGGCCTAAAGAAATCTTAACATTTTCACTCGCGTCAGATTTTAGCATCACGCATCTGATTTAATGGATGTCTGCAGCTGCACGAAAAAAAAACAAACCGATCAACCAACTTTGTGCTTCTCTCCTCCGTCTAAGAGATAGCTAGAACTGCTGTTAGCTGATGTTTATAGAAATCCTTTAACCGGATATCAGGTTCGATACTTACATCAACACGGCGGCCTCTCAAAACCTTTGAAAGAGAAAAAAAGAACAGGAAGGAGTCTGCGCAGAAAACAGATGCGAATTAATTCATTTTCAAACCGTTTCACAAATTTAAGACTAATTCCCTACCCCCGTCTTCACTTGGAAAATACTACAGGATAGATGATAGGACGCGAACCGTCTGTAAGCTCAACTTGTAATCGATCCATCACTAATGTGCATAGAATTACTCACGCGGAAAACTATTTCACATTTTATGTCTTTAAGCAGCAGTTCATATTAGCTTTCAAATCATGACAAGTCTTCTGAATACCCAGTGGGATCGCAGCTTCAGTTTAACCCAAAAAACTCTAGCGAGTCCAGTTAATCGAAAGCACTGGATTTTCTCTTGTCAAATCCATATAGTCTAGTAAACAGGCACTAGTATAAAAACAAGATGATTTTAAAAGAAGTTGCAATTTAGCGCATACCAGTATGGCCCGCTCATTCATTTTTCTTTATACAAACGCGTCAGCTAGTATTCGTGAAGCAGACACGTAATACAATGATACTTTGATTGCTTTTATTCTCGGAAATATATCCTTAAATATTAATCCAATGCATTTACTTTTTTTCTTTAAGCTTACGTTTTTGGTAATAAATTATGACAATATTTTAAAAACTAGTAGTGTTGTTACCATGTGCCGGATTATCTTGTTACCACTCTGGATGAACCGGTGAAGGATCAGGCAAGAGGTGTGATAGTGCCACCTTGTGGTCAACAGGCGGCATCGCGGACTCGAACTTTTCGTTTGATAGCGGAAACCTTTGCTCTGCGTCTTATTTTGTACTTGTTATATTTGTTTTTAATCATTGCAGGTTTACAAGGCGAACGTAAACCAGTATATGTGAAGCACGTTTGCTGTGTACTGCGCTGTTCAAAATGTCTTCAGTCCCAGCAGAAACTAATACAGGTAACGCTAACGTATTTTCGCCTGGCCAATCACCAGACTTTGCCCTGCGCCAGAAAAAGTCTGAGCGCCTGGGGTCCTGGTTATTTTCTGGGAATGAGTTTGGTAAGCAGCTCAGGGCAAAACCTAAAACTAATCTGCAGAATAAATGACCATGTGAGCAACTCTCTACCCGTGTCACTGAGGCCACACATGTGTAGTGTTTTCTGAGGAAACGCTCAGTAAGCAGTCCATCATTACTTAGGCGGTTTTTAACCTGATCATTCTCCATGTTACCCAACCCCCTCCATCAAACCTCACGCAGTACCATGACATTTTAAAATTCACTACAAGCACGCCCCACGCAATCTTCCAATGAGCACTAAACTCCCAAGCCATTTGATTTATTACACCGAAGAAGTAAATTCAATAATAAATATAATCCTTGTGAAACAGGCTATTCCGAGGTAGAGACTGTAGTTTAATGTTGAAACACTAAGAGGGGAGGGGGGATATTTAATAAATGAAACGACTTTGATCACGGACATTTTTATTTGGTGTTTTCCTAGCATTAGATATTTGCATGCGTTGCAATTTCAATGCGGGCTACATTATTATTTTTTAGATTCCTTTTCAGACTTCATACATGCAAAAACAAAATTCCAGACATATAGTTCTTTTCAAAATCAGACACTTGCATGACTGGATAGACTGAGAATGGTTTAAAAAATAAGAAATAAAAACAGAAAGCAACAAAGCAATAGACAAATGATGCAGTGTGTTTTTCTTAATTGAAACAGTGCAAACTATTATATGCACAGTCCAGCTCTTTCCCAAGTGCTATGAACACAAAAAGTAAATTCTGTATCATTCAGTTTGGCAATTTGCAAATCGAGTGCCTGATGTAAGCTTTTCTGTTAATAATCTGCTAAATGAATATTCCTCAAATCCCACAAATCATAGTTAATTCCAGGCTCATAGAATCCCAAATGGTTTAATGAATCTGCCTTTCCTTCCCTCTGCCAGGAAAATACAGTCAGTACACAAGTACAACACCAGGATTTCATAGAAGTTGTACTTTAAACAGCCCTGAGATATTTAATTTGGAAGCAGTTTGGATTGTAACACTCACTAAACTTAGTGAATTGCTGTCATTTTGAGGGAGAAAGGAGTGTTTCACATAACAGGCTTTATGAGTAAAAATATTTTTAAAGCACCCATAAGAATAGCATTGAAAATTCTTGAACTCTCAGCTCAGCTGAGTAAACTTGGCAAAAGACCTGGGACTCAGAATTATTTTTGCAAGGACTTTGTCTAAATAGCCACCAGCCTCCTTAAAATGTCAAAACGTTTATTTTCTTCAAAGCAAAGCTGCTATGGGCTAGCATGGAAATGACAATGTCCAAGGCTGAAAGCTGAAACTAAAGCACAGTTTAAAATTAAATCTCAAGATGACATCCATATTTATTTGATTGGCTTTGAAAAGCACGTAGCGTCTGAAGGCCTCAGTCGGCGCGTTTCACTGCAGGATCCTAAGTGGCATTTTTATCTTTCCATTGCCACTCATCGGCTCCATTCAGCTCATTTAAGGTGAGCTGGTCTGAAACCGCCACAGATGTCAATGATGTTTAAACCAAAGGCGTGGAAACATGGTCAAACAGAAAGCAGGTAGGATCCAGTTAGTGTGGCTGAGGTGAGTGCTGGAAGGTATTTAATATTCTGTGAGACACAGGTAACAAAAACACAAAGCCGCTAAATCCTGCACAGCAACAATACTCTGTCTTATGATCCTATAAAGGACTTGTCTCTTTATTTCTGCTTCAGAGATTCCTAGTCAATTTCACCTTACGCCTTCATCATAGTTAATCAGGGGAGGACATCCATGGTCCCTGCCAGCCACGGTCCATATGGTTTATGGGTCACTCTCAAATCACCAGTTCTAAAGACTTAGAACACATTCATTTGGGGCACTCAAGCAGGTGGGTCATTTCATTAGTCCCAAGATCATTTGAAATGACAATACCATCTCCCTGTAGTGAACAGGGCCCATAGATGACCATTCCTGGCTTAGCAGGAGCGATTAAATTGCTGTATCCACTGTCCAGACCGATGGTGGCGAAGGTGAGCCACCTGAGATGTTTGGGAAGAGACGAGGTCTGTGCAGGTCTAGACAGTGAGGAGCAGGCAGAGCGAAGAAGCTGCGCTATTGCCGTTAATGGAGCCCCGCTTGCAGATGCTACCCCCCACCCCACCCCACCCCGCCCACTCCAGAGTGGAAGAGGAGGTTGCTGCTCCCCGGTTTTCCTGCACAGCACGCAGGAGGAGGGACGCTGCTGGTGGAGATCCTAATCCAGTTGCTCTGATGGTCTTGCCAGCTGTCCGTGATCTCTGGCCCTGGGATGGGGGGTGTTGCAGCCCAGTCTGTCAGCAAAGGCAGGTTTTTGTGTAGCAGCACCAGGGCGCCCAGGAGGTCCAGCGTCCCCCCCCCCCCTGCCCTGGGGCTCTCTTTAGGCCTGGTTGTCCTCTTTTCTCGGGTTGCCCTCTGGCACCTGAAAGCAGCATTAAGTCAGCATGCCATTCCTGCACAGCCTGGCTCCTAACACACAGAAGCACTGGATTTCACAATGCACCGCTTTCATCAGAGCTGAGACATGTGGTTTTCTCAAGCTGCTACTTCTGTAACATTTCATACAGGCGGGTTACTCATTCCAGCACCATCCCTAGGCTGTTACCCACAGGGAGACTGGACGAAGCAATGACATCTTTAGCACTGCAACTCTTCCTTTA